AGTGCTACCTGGATGGGGAAAGCACAGAGAAATGGGCTGGCTCCCCAGGTGGCACCAAGGGTAGGAGGGACCTGAGACTGGAGGTGAAGGCTGGGCAACTGGGTCTGGCTACAGGGAAACCCTGATTTAGTAATGTTTAATTTGCTAGGTAGTGGATACAGTGGATCCTCAAGTTATGACGGGCCTGATATACAACTTGAGTTAATTAGGTTAATGGAAGATTCATCTGCCTCTTGTTATCTATAGCATGTACATCCAGATCTCAGCTATATTGGCTTACAAGCAACGTGAGTTACAACCAGCCCTCAAGAACAGATCCAGTTCATAAGTCAAGGGTCTACTGTATAAGGATGCTTACTATCTTATTTTTTAAATGTCTTACATATATAAAATTTATTTTATTTTTCTTTTTTTTTTTTTTTTTTTTGTACTGAGGATCGAATTCAGGACATTGTGCTTGCAAGGCAGGCAGCATGACCACTGAACTAAATCCCTGGCCCTTAAGTATATAAAATTTAAAAAACAGAACTTCTGCAGATCAAAGGATACAACCAAAGAGTGAAAAGGCAACCAACAAAATGGGGAAAATACAAATCATTTATCTGATAAAGGGTTAATACCTAAAATATATAAACAATTCCTACAGCTAGACAAGAAATGTATACATATAATTCCAGCTATTTTACTCAAAATAAAATTTAAACAGAGCTGGATATGTAGCTCAGTGATGGAGAACTTGCCTAGCAAAACTGAGGATGTGGGTTCAGGAAAAAGAAGAAATAATTAAGATGGTATACATCAGAAATGGCAAACCTTTTAGAGCTCTCAATGATAAAAACAACCCACTATGGCCAGGAGTGGCAGTGCACGCCTGTTATCCCAGTACTCGGGAGGCTGAGGCAGGAGGATTACTGCAACCTAAAGGCCAGCCTGGGTTACATAGTGAGTTCAAGGCCACCTTGAACAAAGAGAGACCTTGTCTCAAAAACCAAAAACATGCCAGGCATGGTGGCACTCGCCTGTTATCCTAGCACTCAGGAGGCTGAAGCAGGAGGACTGGCCAGCCTGGACTACATAGTGAGTTCAATTCCACCCTAAACTACACAGCAAGACACTATTTCAAAAAAAAAGTTTGCTGAAGCATGCAATAGGTTTGCAAACACTGGTATAGATTCTTTTTTTTTCTTTATTTTGGAGACATGGTCTTGCTATGTAGCCCAGGGTGGCCTCAAACTTGAAGCAATCCTCCTGCCATGGGATTACAGGCATGTGCCACCAATCTTAAATACATTTTACAACATTTTTTTAAAAAAACCACAACTAATCAAAAAAAACACAAAAAACAAAAAAACAAAGCCAAAACCCCACAACTAATCAAAACTGGTCTTAGCCACGACAATAGAAGGTATTATGTGAGAAACACTAAATTCACATTAAGTCTGCTGCTTTTCTTCTTTGAAAAAAATCACTTCAGCTGGGGATTTGGCTCAGTGGTTCCACTGTCTGCCTCGAAAGCACAATGGCCTGAGTTCAATCCCTGGTACCAAAACAAACAAACAAACAAAATCACTTCAGTTCAGCTCTTGGGGAGGCTAGAGAATTTGAGGAACCACACACAAAAAAAAATGATTAAATGTCTTAAAGTCTGTTATAAAAACATATACTTGAACACAGATAACTATTTCCATTACTGAAATGATCACTTTCTGGAAGCTTACAAATGTTAACAATTGCTTGTTATAACTATTTTCCCAATAGTATAATTGTATAGCTCTCTATACAATTATACACAGCAGGAGTATGGCAATTTACTCAATTCTCTATATAACAATACAAACCTCATATTCAGATCCATGCTAATGTTTAAATTAGTTCCTCATGTGTAGCATACATATTTGAAGGAGAAAAATCTATGTTTCAAAAAAGAGGTACCCCCATCCATAAATGTAGACCCTCCTGCCAGCCACCTTACTGAATCCCGATCTCCTGGCCAAGCCCAATGTCAGCTTTTCCCCTCTGCTTCCATACAAGACCCCTGCTTCCAAAAGAAACCATATTCTGTGTATGTGGGTGTGTGTGCACATGTACACTCATACACAAGATTTTATACATATATATATGATTATATATAGATATGTTATCCATTTTTAAAAGATGAAATCTCACTATATTGCCCCCAAACTCCTGTTCTCAAAATCCTCTCACCTCAATCTCAAAAGTAGCTGGGTCTACAAACACAGGCCACTGAAACTGGCTAGTGTACTTAGTTTTTTTAATCACATAATTTCCAGTTTTAATTCCTAATCTGCCATTTACCAGCCCTGTGGTCTTTGGCAACCTCCTTAACTTTTTATACCTTGGTTTTCTTATCTTTAAAACTAAGGTACATGGGTTGGGGATTTAGCTCAATGGTTCCACCACCTGTCCCACAAGCGCAAAGACCCAAGTTTGATCCCGGTACCAAAAAAAATATAAAAAATTAAGGTACAGTATTAGTACCAGCTGCAGAGCAGAGTGTTATAAAAATAAAATGAGATTAACAAATCTGGAACATTAATAATCACTCAATGAATGTTGGCTATTATTATTATAGACTTAAGAATGTTGTGATGCCGGGTGTGGTGGCACACACCTGTAATCCCAGCACTCAGGAGGCTGAGGCAGGAAGATCAATGAGTTTGAGACCAGCCTGGGCTACATAGTGAGTTCCAGGTCAGTCTCAACTACATAGTGAGACCCTGTCTCCAAAATAAAAAAGAATGTTGTGATATTTATATTGGGAGTAATAAAGAAGATCATTAAATTATGATCTGACCAGTGAATTTTCTCTTCAGATTCCCACTCTCTTTTTTCTTCTGAAAAGTGTAGTATTTGGGAATGCGGCAGTTTAGAATTTAACGTTTTATCTTTTAAATTCTTCATTCCTTTTTAGTCTTGTCAACTACTGTGTAAACTCAAGGCCAGAACCTTGTTTCATATTCTTTGTGTTCATATTATACTGTAATTATGTGTTTCTCTTTTCCCTCCTAGGGTCTGAGCAATTCCATAGTAGAGATCAAGTCTTACTTGTATTTGTGTCCTGAAGGCTTAGGAATCAGACACAAAATGGGTTTCAGTCAATGTTTGTTAAATGGATAAATTAATTAATCTTTTTCTCCTCTGCAATGTTTTACACAATACTCTACACATAACAGGAACTCAGTATAAAGCCTGCTCTTGGATTCATGCAGGAATTTTTTGGATGCAACCAACACACAAAGATTTATCTTGCCCCAGAAAAAAAATCATTTTACTTTTTGAAATTTAGCTACTAACAAGACAAATTAAAAGTTTTACTGCAATACATATCAAATAAATAGGTTCATTGACTAACCATATCCGGGTTAGCTCAAGAAGGATTTAAAAGCCATTATCCTAATTAATGAATATGTGAATCTCAACATGGGAAAATCCAGTTACATAATCAAAAAAGGGGTTATCACGGGGGATTTAGATCACTGGGGATTTAGTTCAGTAGTTCTGCCACCTGCCTCGCAAGCACAAGGACCCGAGTTCAATCCCCAGTACCAAAAAAATAGAGGGGCTATCCTTTGCAAATCTATACCTATGAGACAAATGATCAGAAAGCTGTAGATTAATATAGCTACATTAATAATTATATGCATTCATTACATAACTATACACAATACTCATTATTAATGTGTTAATAATGTAATAATAATGTATCTGCAGGTAAAAATGGATAAATTATTTCTACACCTGATATGAAGTCAGTTTTCACTAGGAATATGTTAATGAGCCAAATGGTCCAAACCTGCTTCCAGAAAACACCTCTCGAAAGCGAAAGTTTAAATATTTTCCCCTCAGTAATTTTAATTCCTACGAGGCTCTTTTATTGACAGATACTCAAAATGTGTTCAGTTTCCTAAAATAAAACCTCATTCTTAAAGGGATATAAGTCTGAACAGGCACACATGGGGAATGATAGGTTTTATATCCAAGTAACTAAACCTATCCCTAGGTTCATTATTCAGCCTGCTGCTGCAACAAGAAACATTTTTCGTAGTTTTTAAATTACACTTAGTGTAAAATTTAAATGTCGCACTGCACATTCTTTCGCTATATCATCTAAACTGATATTTCACTACATATGTAATTTCATAAATACATCGTAAAGGAACTCTACACTTGAATGAATCTGGGAAGAAACGTGACGTTAGCACACACCCCCTTCCTCCAACTCAATACACTCCAGAGAAAGCACACCTAGGTTTTTTTTTTTTTTTTAAAAAATATGTTTTTTTTTTTTTCTCAAGAATTTCTCTCTCGAGCCCCCACCCCACGCTTTTTAGAGCAGCAATCATTCATTATCCTACTTAAGAGTCTCTCCACTGAAAGAACCTTCCCAACTAACACTTGTTCACCAAGACTCTGCTCTCACACGTCAGAGTGTCTGTTTGCCATTTCTTCGGAAACAAGGGAAAAAGGCAGCGAGGGTCCGGGACGCCTCCATTCCCGCCACGCCATTTAGGGCTGAAGTCCTGGCGCGCGCTCCCAGACCAGCCTGAGGCGGCTCCCAGGGAACTGCAGAGGTCGAGACCTCTCTCCCCACACCCTCAACCCCCCAACAGGGAAAAGAAAACTGGGCCCAACCTCCGCGCTCCCGTTCTACATACCCTCCTCGCAGGACCCCAATTTCGTCCCACTCCAATGGAGCCTGGTTTCTTTATCTAGTTCCTAGTCCTCTTAACCACTTCGCTCCCAACACTTACCCCTCTCGGCTCCGGCCCCAGCCACGGGAACCCTATTACACCCGGGTCTCTCCCCTTGAACCTCCCAGTAGCTCCAACCCTCCCTGTGCCCTAGCGCAGACCGGCGCCGTGTCCTGATACCCAAGGGTCCCGGGTCCTTCCCCACACGTCACACACTGATTCTTTCCACTCCTCGAGACCCGACCTTCTACAGCCCTTCCCCAAGCGATACCCCCAGAACCCCATTACCTCCGGCCCCGCCCCCCTGAGAGTGTCGCACTCACAGCTCCCGCCGCCGCATCCTTAACCGCCGCGGCTGCTATAGCTACAGGGAGCCAAGGCAACCAGCTCTCGCGACACTTTCCCCAGCTTCAGCGAGAACCGTCGAGAAGAGACTCTCGCAATAAAGTACAGCAAACGAGTCAGGCTCCAGCCCGCTAAGTATGTCTCGCGATAGTATTGTTTAAAATGGCGGCCGCAAGTCGTCTCACTGATGGCTAAGGAAAGTTTAGAAGTAGGGTAGGAACGAGGATGAGACTTGAGCTGGCCAAGAGTCGGACTACCATTGCAGGCAGGATGATATGTTCAGGCTGGGGAAAGTTAAACGTGGCGATTCCTACACCGGGATAACTTTTAGGGATGTAAGACCTTCTTTGCCCCACTTTCTCAAACAAAGCAGTGTTGCCTTTAACTGAAGTTCCGTTTTCTCCGTATTTTTCATCTGCCCGCGGGGTAATTGGAGATGTCGAGGACAGGCCAAATATTGACTTTACCATCGCCACAATATCTACCTTGAGGAAGTTTACATCCATTGTAAAAGGTATTTAGCGTCTCAAAAGTAAACACCGGGTGCCCAACCCCGTCAATCGCAAGACCAAAATAGGAAATAAGTTTCCCCCCAAAAAAGCAACCACAGGTGTTTGGCCTTGTATTTTGCATTTGTTTGCCGCCCTGTGGACACATCCTTATTCTGTAGCTCTTAAACACTTAGGACCTTCAGTGGCTGCTTTCAGTCAGCTGTACTGACCGGCTATTGAAAGAGTGAATTTAAAGCATGTTATGGACAAGGAAGAATAAAATAGGAAAACGGGAATAGAAATGAAAAGGAGTTCGTTTTTGCCTCTTGGCCCTGAATAGCTCTCATAAGGTGCTTAGACCATTGCTGGCAGTAGAAAGATATTGAGCCGCCCTATGCAATTTAAAACTTTCTACGTTGCCGGGCCTGGTGGCGCACGCCTGTAATTCCAGCACTCGGGAGGCTGAGGCAGGAGGATAGCTGTGAATTCGAGACCAGCCTGGGCTACATAGTGAGACAGGATTCCAGGCCGGGGATTTGGCTCAGTGGTTCTACTACCTGCCTTGCAAGCCCAAGGTCCAGAGTTTGATCCCTGGTACCAAAAAAAAAAGAATTGCTGAAAGTGGTATTATTTTACCTTTTTGCATTAAAAAATTCAGTATTTCATGCAGCATTTATAGTATAAATGCAGATCTAGTCTCTAGAGTAATAAGCAATTTACATGACTTTTAGGTGTGGTAGTATAGACATGATCTGTGAAAAAGGGACACTTGAAGGTGCTAACTCATAAGGCTGCAAGAAGGTAAGCAAGTGAAAATAGATGATCTTGGCTGGGGATATAGCTCAGTGGGGCCATGCCTGCCTGGTAGGTGCAAGGTCCTGAGTTCAATCCCTGGTATGGGGGTGAGGGGTTGGGACACAATAGATGATCTTGCTTAAAACATAATAGTGGGTGCTAGGACCAGCTAGAGACTAGAAAGGCTACCTTGTCCGTGTGCAGCCGGTAATCTCAGCTCTTTCTCAGGAGGCTGAGGCAGAAGGATCATGAGATGGAGGTCAGCTTTGGCAGCATGTCAAATTCAGGGCAGTCTGGACTACTTAGCAAGATCCTGCCTCGAAAAGCCAAGAAATACAGGGACAAATAGGGCTACCTCACCTCTCTTGAGTATTTTTTAGACAATGTTTCATTATATAGTCCATGCTGGTTTGGGGCCTTCTGTTCAGTCCAGCCTGGTCTGGACTTTAAGAACCTCCTGCCTCTGCCTCCCAAGTGCTAAGAGTTGCAGGTTTACTATCGTGCCCAATTAGAAAACATATTTTAACAGAAAAATATTTCTAGGCAAAAGGATGACAAAACATGAGAATGAGATTTTTGATTAGATATTACATTAGGCCACCTTCTGCTTATACTTTGACTTCTAAGTAGACTTCTCTACTGAGGATATAATTTCGCAATCATCCTGAACTCCTTTACCTTGAACCTTTTTTGGTTGTTATATTTTAAATTTCAGACATCTGAGCTTGAAAAAAGTTCCTAGATATTCAGAGCAGTTGACTCTTCAGAGCAGATGTTAACTTTTCTCCCATAACTTGTTTTATTTTGGTGGTATTGAGATTGAACTAGGGCCTACCTAGTACATGGTAGGAAAGTGTGAAGTACCCTACCATTGAGCTATATTCCCAGCCCTTCTATTTGAGGTAGGATCTAGCTAAATTGCCCAGTCTAAGTCAGGTATGGTGGCACACACCTGTATTCCGAGCTACTGAGGAGGCTGAGGCAGAAAGACCAGAATTCAAAGCCAGTTTGAGCAATTTAGCAAGACTCTGTCTTAAAATTTAAAAATTAGAAGGGGTCAAGGTTGTAGCTCAGTGTCTCTTGGGTTTGATCACCAGTACCACAAGGGGAAAAAAAAGTTTCCCAGGCTGGACTGGAATTTAAGTCCTCCTGCCTCAGCCTCCCAAGTAATTGGGATTATAGGCAAGTGCCCCCACAACTTTAAAAGCCTATGTTTAATAATTATTTTATGGTTAACTGAGAAAGCTCTCTGTTGCATGAAAGTTGTCTTTGTTCTTTTGCCTGATATAGTAGTTGGTATATAGCACACATACAATAAGCATTTGTTAAGGGAATATATTTGGACTAAGAATGCAGCTCATTGGCGCAGCACTGGCCTAGAATATGGGGAATCCTGGGTTTGATGCAAGTACTGAAAGAAGAGGCAGGTCTGATGATGCACCCCTGTAATCCCAGCACTCAGCAGGCTGAGGAAGAGGATTACAGTGAGTTTGAGATCACCCTGTGCCACGTAGTGAGTTCAAGGCCAGCCTGAAATACTTAGCAAGACCTTGTCTCAAAATAACCAACCAAACAAATAAATGGCACTGAGAGAAAAAAATAATATTGTCCATAGTTCTCAACTTTTGGGGGCCATCACACACTAACCTAGAATCTAATAAAAGTTAAGAACCCTTACCAATACTATAAAGTTTCTGTGATCAAAACAGCATGGTACTGCAAAAGAACAGACCTGAGGATCAATTGAACAGATTAGAAGATGCAAAAACAACTCCAGATGTGCTCAGCCACCTTATCTTTGACAAAGGAGTCAAACACCTTCACAGGAAGAAAGATAGCCTCTTTAATAAATGGTGCTGAAAAAACTGGCTTTCCACATGCCAAAGATTGAAACTAGACCTATAGTTTTCACCATGCACTAACCTAAAATCAAAATGGAAAAAAGATGTAAATATTAAGACAGAAACACTAAATCTGCTCAAAGAGAGACTATGTGGAATGCTTGAGGACATAGTAATAGGTAAAGACTTCATGAACAAAACCAAGACCTCCCAGAAAATACTACAAATATCAACAACTGGGACCTCATCTTATTAAAAAGCTTTAGCACAGCAAAAGAAACCACCAACAGAGTGAAAAGACAAGCCACAGCAAGAGATTTTTTTTTTTTTTTTTCCTAACAGGAATTGAACTCTGGTCTTTGCCCTTGCGAGGCAGGAAGCAGAACCATTGAGCTAAATCCCCAGGCCATAGGAAAAAATTTTTACCAGCTATTCATCAGAGAAAGAACTACTATCGAGAATATATAAAGAACTCAACAAATCAGACTCATAAAATTTAAAGACCCAATCCAAAACTGGGCATCTGAAATGAATAGACACTTCTCAGATGAAGAAGTAGAGATAGCAAACAAATATATGAAAAAATGTTCCACATCTTTGGTCATTTGAGAAATGCAAATTAAAACAATACTGAGATTCCATCTCCAGAAAGAATGACTTATCAAGAAATCAACCAAGCCGGGCGTGGTGGTGCATGCCTGTAATCCCAGCACTTGGAGGCTGAGGCAGGAGAATTGCTGTGAGTTTGAGACCAGACTGGGCTACATAGTGAGTTCCAGGTCAGTTTCAACTGCACAGTGAGACCCTGTCTCAAAAAACCAAAAAAAAAAAAAAAGAAATAAAATGGGGATTTAGCTCAGTGGTGTCTCCTCCTCACAAGCGTAAGGACCGAGTGCAATCCCCAGTATCAAAAAAAAAAATCAACCAATAAATGCTGTGGGGGAAAAAAGGAACCCTTCTCAACTATTGGTTGTTGTTGTTTTGTTTTGTTTTGTTTTGTTTTGGTACAGGGGATTGAACTTGGGTTTTTGTGCTTGTGAGGCAGGCCACAGAACCACTGAGCCAAATCCCTGGCTCCCTTCTTCACTATTGGTGGGAGTGCAGACTGGTGCAGCCTCTAGAAATCAGTGTGGAGCTTTCTCAAAAAACTAAAAGTAGAGGTTCCATTTGACCCCTTCTTGTTATTTTCCCAAAAGAATTAAAAGTATCAAACCACAGCAGTATATGCACACTATGTATATAATGGCACAATTTGTAATACCTAAATCTTAAAAATAGCCCAAATGCTCATTAACAGATGAATGGATAAAGAAAATGTGATTTATTTTTTTATACAATCAAGTACTACTCTGCTATAAAGAAGGTTGAGCTTCAGACATTTCTAGCTAAATGGATGGACCTTGAGACCATACTCAAGTGAAGTAAATCAGATACACATGTTTAAGTACCATATTGTTTCTCTGGTGTGAGAAACCAAAAGTGGAAATAAGGAGTAAAATGTATAATAGATATTGGGAAATGGGAAGAAAATGTTCATATGGAAAGAGGAGCAAGGGAAAGGGGAGGGAGAAAGGAAGGAAGGGATGAGGGAAAAAAGTGAAAATAGAAAAATGGCAACAAAGCTTTTGTATGTAATAAGGGGAAGGGGAATGGGAAAAAAGACAGGATGTATGATGAGTGTTATCATTCTGTATGCCTAAAATGTGCCAATAAAGGTTTTACTACTTTTAAAAAAAAGGAATCCTTACTGAGGTCCTGTCCCATCTGTTCCATACCCACTTTACCTCCGCCTACCCCACACCTCACTACAACTTTAGTGGACAGATGCTGCATAGGTCCAGAGCTTCATATCTGAAATAGCTGGGTATAACAATCCCCTTTATTATACTGTACTGGGGATTGAACCCAAGGCCTTCTCAATGAACTACATCCCAAGCCCTTTTTATTTATTTGTTTGTTTGTTTTTTGGCTGGTTGTTTGATTTTTGAGACAGGGTCTCACTGGGCTTGAACCTGCCATCTTTCTGCCTGAACCTCCCAGAGTACTTCATTGACAGTTGTACTGCACCATGCCCAGCCAAAACCCTATATATACTGTGCTTTTTTCTATACATATGTACCTATGACAAAGTTTAAATATATTATAGGGCTGATGGTATAGCTCAGTGGTAGAGCCCTGGGTTTGATTAGCAGCAGTGGGGGAAAAAAAGACTAATTTATAAATTAGGCACACTGAGTATAACTGAGTAGAATAATTATAATAATATACTGTAACAAAATTGCCAGCATCACTACTATAATATTTCCAGGCTATTCTTAAGTAAAATAAGAGCTTCTTGGACACAGCACTGTTACACTTAACAATTGAGAAGTCTACTAAGTGATTATCAGGATGGTGGTGTTTACAGTGTAAATATGCTGGATAAAGGGATTCACATCCCAGTTGAGACAGAGCAGGATATCCTGAGATTTCTTCATGCTACTCAAAACAATGTACAATTTAAAACTTATGTATTATTTCTGGAGTTTTCCATTTAATATTTTTGGTCTGTGATTCTACACTACTGTGTCACTTTATCTGGGAGTACGAGTGTAATTAACATTGAAAATCAATGAAAAGTGAGATTTGGTAGCCAACTATTCCAGTTTCTGATGTCCTTCACACATTAGTGGGACAATTCTGAAGTATGTTCTACTATAGTATTTCTCTAAATTTTCTAGCATGGAAGGATCACTCGGAGAGATTAGAAAACTACAGACTCCTGGGCCCAAGAGTTTGCATTTCTAACCAAGCTCCTAGGAGATACTGATGCTGCCAGACCATGTACCAATCTTGAATAGCATTATTCTTTGAGATTTCCTAGTGAGATTCACCCCCAATTAAAAAAATCACTGTTTTGAGCCAGAGATAACAGCTCAGCAGCACCACGCTTGCCTGGCAAGTGCAAGGTTCTGAGTTCAATTCTTGGTAATGGAAAAAAAAAGTTAAAAAAATAAAATGTTCATTCTATATTTGATCTTAGCCAAAAGGCTGAAAAGCAATAAAAATGTTCATTCTTACCTGTAAGCTATTTCATTAAATATCACAAAATTAGTTTTTAAAAAATAAAATCACTCTTTATTGCCTTTCCTCTCACTCCTTTACTCTGATTGGATTTCTGGGACACCTTCCAAATTAACTACTTTCATTCAAATCTTTGTTTCAGGATTTGTTTGGGGAGAAATCCTTAGGAATATGTTCATAGCCTTTTTTTTTTTTTTTTTTTTTTACCAGGGATCGAACTCCGGTCCTTGCACTTGCTTGCAAGGCAGGCAGTGGAATCACTGAGCCAAATCCCCCATCCCAATAGACTTTTGTGTGTATATATATATATATATATATATATATATATATATTATGTTTAGTAGAGGTATAAATTCCCAAAATTCATTCTTTAGGTTGCAAATGAAAGTGATCAGGGTAAATGTCATGTGACCAAAGTCACTAAAATATGGTAAATTTAATATGAAATCTGGCAACTTAACCTATTAGCAGCTCATGGAAATGACTGAATTCTGCCAGCTCTCCTTTTCTCAGGACTGGGGATATAGCTCAGTGGTAGATCACATGCCTAATATTTTGCCACTCTTGGATCAGAATAGATTGAAAAATGCCAGATATTTCAAATAGCCTAATGTCATTGAGGTAGTATAATTAACAGAGACACAATGGTGAGATAAGTTTTTTATATATGCTTCAATATTATTTTTAAATAAATACAATATTGCAGATCAATCTAAAGCCTCAACTTGTGCCTCTTTGTCCCTCCCCCCGTAAAAAACTGTTATCCTGAAGTAAATATTGATTATTCCCATGTATATGTGTGTACCATACTTTGAGGAGGGTTATGGAATGCAGGGCTTTTCCATTGAGCTACATTCCCAAACTTAAATTAGAAAAAAAAGTTATTTTCCCAGACCCTATTGTCACCTCATTATTCTTCCTAGTCTGCATCATTCTTATTTTGTGGGACATCAAAGTAAGTCTGGGACTCTAGGAGAGACCCAAGGCTTGAAATCAACTTTAAAAACTATTGTTACTCGTTTCCATTGATTTGCTATGTTTCTGTCCAGTCAGTGCTTTCTGGCACCACTGCAGTGCTCCTCTAACCATTAAATGTGTGTGTGTGTGTGTGTGTGTGTGTGTGTGTGTGTGTGTGTGTGATATGCTCTCATCATGTTGTTCAAGCTGGCTTTAAACTCACTATGTAGCTCAGGCTGGCTTTGAATTTACAGCAATCTTCCTGCCTCAACCTCCCAAATGCTGGGATTACAGGCATGCACCACCATGCCTGGATCCATTAAATCTTTTCTTGCTGTGGTTACACAGAGCAAGGCATATGCCTATGGCTGTTTCTCCTACTCCCTTCTGGATTCCACATGGTACCCTTTTCTATTTGATTCTTTTGGAAATCTGTAGCCTTTAGCATATATTAATAAACATGATGGTATTCTCTGGAAATTCTGGCATCTTCTAGTTATATGACGATTAAAGTCAACCTTATTTCTTCCCTAGAATCCCATTTCCCTTTCCCTGGTTTGCTTGTTTTGCAGCTTCTTTTTTTATTTATTTATTTTTGGTACCAGGGATTGACATAAGAGCAACCATCTTGGAAGAAACGCAAGGACATCTGAGTGCCTGGCAGACCAGTTGTCTCAGGACAAGAAGTGCCAGCAATTCTTGTTTGTCCCTTGTTAATCTCCCAAGAGGATGTAGACAACATAAAAGATGTTTTTTAAGGGGTTAGAAGGACAAAGTAAAAAACAAAGTTGTTTTTGTTAACACAGCTGGCCAAAATATTATATAACTTTAGATATAAGATAAAATGCTAAAAACATGCTTTTCGTCTGATGCTCTGAACAGCTTCAATAAATATTGCAGTTTTGATCAGAGGCTGCTGTTGCCTGAGCAAGCTGCAGTCCTCTGATCCTGCTCCTCACATCTTGCCTCTCTTCATTTTGTGTCACTGAGACTCTCAGGGGAATTGGTGACAGGTGTCGAACTCAGGACCTTGTGCTTGCAAGGAAGGTGGTGAAACCACTGAGCTAAATCCCCAGCCCGTTTTGCAGCTTCTAATAGCTACATAGAGCTAACACCAGTGTTACCAACTCTGCACAGCATCACCTTAGCTTCTCCTACATAGGGACCAGCACATGTGTTTATGCATGATTATTTGTCTCATGTACTGTTGAATTAAGTATGCCTTTGTATGTATGTATGAATATGATTTTGTGGGTGTGGGCATGTAAGAAACCAGAGATTATGTCTGGTCTCAAAGTCTAAACAATAAATGTTTAGCATTCAGCTTTAACTGGTCTTTAAGTTTTGTTAGCTTTAGCTTTCTTCAGCCCTCAAATATCAAAGGAAGAAGGAGTTCATTTCCTTGAAGTTTATTGACTATTACTGGTGGCAGAGAAAATTCCATATGGAGCAATTAGAAGGGAAGTTCTGAGTTGGTAAGGAAGGATGTTTGGAGTGAGGCTCAGAATAGAGGACAGAAAGGCAGATCGTTCCCACCTTTTTCTCTCTATTCCCACAGATACTGGATTAACAGTGGGGGCATCCGACTTAGCACTCCTTTTCCAAATTAGAACCAGAGGGAGAAACCTGATGCAAATTAGAAGAGGAAACGTTTCAGAGTTCCTCTGTTTCTCCATCCAAGGGGATGCCAATATCCACACTGTAGTCTACTGGCTCCCCAGAGCTCAGCCATGGAATAGGGGTTCGGTTGAAAGAAGGCCTGTTGGAGAGTTTCTGGTTGTAGAGGACCAGGGGTTCACTCAGCAGGGGTCCCAGGTCAATCTTGGGCATCTGAAATGTCATGCGTTTGGAGGCCTTCTCATATCCACCATAGGGCATTGCCGTCCTGAGAAGGGGACATATTATTTAATTAATAATCAGAACAAAAGATATAGAACCATGTGGAGATGTTACCCTGGTCTGAGGAAGGAAAGGTCCATAAATTCTAGTTTAAGATTGTTTCAACACTCCTTATTCTTCTCTCTTAGCAACTTCTATCCTCTTCTCAGCTTGCTTGTTTCCCCAAAGTTAATAGTGAAAAAAGGAGTCTAGTGGACACTAAGTAGAGACTCTCTTGGAGAGTTGTAACCCAAACATTGTAGATTAAGGGTCTGAGATCACCTTAAATTATACAGAGGCCTCAGCCCAACTACTCCTGATGGATGCCCTCTGAAGGAATTAACAACAGAATACAAAAACACTTCTCTAGGCCTTTCTAACCCTGCTTTTACATAGATCTCCATGGTCTACAGAAGCCCAATTCCGAAAGAATAGATACTTACAGTCTTATTCCAGCAGGGTATAAAGAAATAGAATCATATTACAGGACAATAAGGTCAGCTTCACCTTGAATGGAGCCTCAAGAGGCCTTCAACCACAGGATGATTAATTCCTGTTTTTCATTCAAAGCAACCAAAGTTCACAAGTAGACAAGTAGGGTGACTTTCCCATGTCTACTGCCTAACAAATGGCCTATGAACCAGTATTCAAATCTTGCCTCCCAGCAAATTTTTCCTTTATCACATTGCTATGATGGGGCCGGGTATTTAGCTCAGTGGTTCTACCGCCTGCTTTGCAAGCGCAAGGACCTGAGTTTGATCCCCAGTACCAAAAAAAACAAAAACAAACATTGCTATGATGAAGATAAGCTAGAGTTAAAGGATCAAAAGCTTTCTGTTAGGGCTCCTGTATTCCTGCCATCCCTCTTATCTCCCTTCTGAAACATTTTAATCGCAGTCCCATGCCACACATTGGAATACACCTGGTTCTTTTCCCACTACTGTACCTGTTAAAGGACTTATATTTGGGGAGTTCCACTTTGGCCCCATAGGCCAGCAGGTCAATGCCAAGTTCCATTTTTTGTTGGGAGTCAACTCCCATGGCTCGCTCCCATGGAGAAATATAGGTCTTGAACACAGTAACATGTTTTCCTTCTCCATCTGCCTGGTTTCCTGGTAGACACGGGAGAGAAAAGTAAGTCAAACAATAGCAGTTCATTAGTAGCCAATGAAAATTAATCCTATATCCTTGCACTAGGAAAATTGCTAAAGCCAAGGACCAAAAGCATAATATCTTGGTAATTATGTAAAGTTTGCTGTGTAATGACAGCTTGGTGTTACATCTGTGATTAAATCTGAAAAACCAGAAGGCCTTCAGATAAGGCTTGTGAGTAAAATAGACACATCTCTATATCCTGGATACCTTCTAGGTTCAAGGTAGCTCACTTCTCCTGCATCCCACACACAGCCTAAGCAATATTCCCAGAGACATCTTTGCCCTGGGGATCAGACACATTATTTTTTGGATGAGAGTACTTGCCTGATCCTGTCTCACCAGCTCCTGCCGTGCCAGCAGCTCCTCCTCTGCCAGCCTGGCCCCCAGGACCACCTGCAACCCCAGCTCCAGACCCAGAGCCCTGATGATGATGTTGGTCAGAGCCATAGTGTCCCGCAGAGCTACTGCCCCCTGCCTGGCCTCCGCCACTGCCTTTGCTGTAGGAGAATCCCTGACCAGCTGTGCCCAGCTGTCCCCCCACTGTGGGAAGGAACTTCTGGAAATGATCCTGTAAAGAAAGGACAAATTGAGGAGAAATTTAGCAATGAGTAGGGGAAACACAGGAAGAGAGGTGCGTATAGTAAAAGAAGAGGTGGTCAGAAACAGTGGCCAAACACAACATCCTGAGTCCTCTGAAATCACCCCCACCATTACATAGACAGCTTAACTGAGAGGAATCAAACACTCCGTAAGTGACAGAACCCCTGTTGGCTCAGTTTCCCCAGTTACACCTTAGGTTGGGCAGCTTGTTCTCCACTTCTCTTTCCCATCTTTTTTTTTTTTTTTTTTTTT